TATTTTCAGTTGACAGAATTAATTCATCCTCAAAGTTAAAATTGATCTCTATTACACCTTGTGATACTCTCTTCTTTATAGAAATTGATTTTTTAAAACTACTGATTACACTTTCTACTACCCTTCCCAAAATGGAATCCCAACCTAAAACTGGTAAATCTAGTCAGTTCATATCTCAAATTTTATACATCATATAAAATATTCATAACAAACTCAATGGTAACATACAATATAAATGACTAAGTTTGGTAGTTGATAGGGGGCTTTGAAAATGTGATAAATCATAGGTTCTTTTTCTTCTGTGTGCATCAGAAATGCTTGAGCCTCTCAAAACACAGATTCCTAGGCCTTGCCCCAGTTTCTAATTCAGTGGGTCTAGAGTGGGCAGAAGAATTTGCATTTTTAACATGTTCCAGGTGGTGCTGATGCTGCTGGTCTGGAGACCACACGTTAAGAACCACTGGCAGGGCTGGCCGAGTGGCGCGTTGGTTAAGAGCTGGCTTGGGACGCCAGAGGACCCCGGTTCGGATCCCACATATGAGGGCCAGTGACACTGCCCTCTACAGCTAAGATGCCGAACAACAGCTCAACCTGGAGCTGGGCTGCCGTGAGTCGCCAGCCACTGCGTAGGCTGCAGCCCCTGTGGCAGTGGGTTGCCATGGGCTACTGTGTGTAGCCAGCAGCCAGTGTGAGCGGCCAGCAGTCGCTGTGAGCGGCCGTCCAGAAGCCAGCGACTGATCTGCCTCGCCCGGGAAGAGCGCAATGATGGTGCCAACTTGGGCCAGTTGAAGCGTCGTCCTCCACAACTAGACTGAAGAACAGAAAGGACAGCAACTTGTCTGTTTCCCTTCCCCCAATTCCCCAATAAAAAGAAATCTAAAAAAAAAAGAACCACTGGGATGTGTTAAAGACATAGATCTATATGAGGGACTTGTGGTATATCGGTATGTGGAAGAAAGATTAAAGTGACGACAGAAAAGAATGAGGAAAGATGATGAGACAAGAAACTTTGATTTTATCAAGGCAGCAGGGCGGTATTGCAAACATTGACCAATCAGAAGGGACAGAGACTAGAGGACTATTGTAGGGGCCTGGAGCTCCTGGCTGGGTGGGAAATGAGCCCTCCAACTGCTGGAGAGGCAACATGGCAGTCTGGAGTCTTGGCGGAAGGACTGCGACACTTGGGCTCCTCAGGGACGTGCTCTTTACCAGTCAATACAGAATCAGTAGAATATTTTAATAAGAACAATGTCCACTTCGCTGTGTTCTGGCCAAAAATCAGCTCTCCAATACAAGGCTGGGAGGAGCACAATGGGTGCCTGGGTACAGGGGGAGGTAATAGCTAATGTGGGCTATCAGAAAGCTTGAACTTGGGTGTTTTCCTAAGGAATGAGTTTTTTTAAAAAAGGCTTCCTTCTGCTTCCTAGGGGGCTAAGAAATACCACACAAAAAGCTCTAGCACACCTAGGGTTTAAAGCAGACTAGAAATAAAAATAAATGCATCTCAGGTGCCAAGCTAAAGAGAACCTAGGCTGGGCTCCATGACTCCTGCACATTCAAGAGTTTTATGTTGTTTGTATCCTGACTTTATATTTCCAAAACAAAAAAGCCCCAAAGAAATAAAAAGTTTACAACATGTCTTGCTTGATGTAATTTTGTGGACGATTCACTATTAAGAGCTGTAGCAATTTAAGAGGGTAGAATAGTTCCCCACAGGTAATAGTGTAAAGCGGTCTTAAACGTTCATGTACATATGGGTCTCATTAAAATGCAGGTCGTGATTCAGGAGGTCTGAGGTGAGGCCTGAGATTTTGCATTTCTAACAATTTTTAAGTGGTATGAATGATATTCGTGAACCACGCTCTGAAAAGCAAAAGTAAAGCGGTGGTTTTCAACCTAAGCTGCACCTCAGAAACACCTGGGGAGCTTTTAAACTCTTGATGCCCAGGCATTATTCCAAACGAATTAATTCAGTACCCAGGCATCAGTATTTTTCAAAACTTCCCACATGGTTCCTATGTTCAGCCAAGGTTGAGAACAACTGCTCTAAAGTGTAATGTTCTCCTCTGAAACCCTGGAACAGTTATCAAAGAATATCCATAGTCAAAGTGGAGTGCCTCCTAATGAGAATACCTGTAGTATTTTATTGATCCTAATCACAGTGCTAATAGTAAGAATCTGAATATAGTTTTGTTTTGTTTATTAAGATTTTATTGGGGGAATTGGGGGAGGGGACCAGCCAAGTTGTTGTCCTTCAATCTTAGTTGTGGAGGGTGTCACAAGCTCAGCTCCAAGTCCAGTCGCACCGCTCAGCTCAAGGTGCTGTGTTCTATTAGTGGCGAGTGGGCGTAGCCACTAGCCCTTGTGGGAGTCGAACAAGCAGCCTTGTTGTTAAGAGCACACACTCTAACCTCTGAGCCACCCGGGCGGCAGCTCAGCTCAGCTCAATGTGGTGAGTTCAGTCTTTAGTTGCAGGCAGGCATAGCCCACCATCTCTTGAACAGGCAACCTTATTGTTAGGAGCATGTGCTCTCACCAGCTGAGCCATCCTGCCACCTGTTGGCAGTTCAGGGGCAGCTCAGCTTGGGTGCAGCTCACTGGCCCATGTGGGAATCGAACCGGCGACCCTGTTGCTCAGAGTTTGCACTCTTGAGCAGGCTCTTAACCAATTGAGTCACTTGGCCAACCCTGAATATAGTTTTAGCTCACTATTAATCTTTGATTCATTACAATCTTCTTCTAACTTTGTTGAAACTTATTTAAATATTACACGAGGTTTAATACATGTTGTTAAAACTGTATTATAGATGCCAGTCCTTGCTCTGGCATGGTGAAAATGACTTTGGAAGTCTTCCTTGACCTAGCTCAACAGATGCCATGTAAAATAAAATAGCTGATGCTTTTCCAGTCTTAAAAGAGTGAAATGTCTCCTTTATAAGGACTAACAAAAATCTGAGGACTAGAGTTGAACACCTAGATGACAAATTGTAAAACAATGGCCTCCACAGTGGGATGTGTTCATCCTAGGGCATAAAAAAGATAATGCACTGGGGTATGGGAAGAAAACAGAACTTCTATTATATTCTCAAGCTAAAAAAAAAAAAAAAAAAGTTGACTAGTGCCTTCATTTGGCCTGAGTATCAGATAGTCACATACTAAATAAGTACTGTGTGAGATGTATCCTGAGAGAGGAGCAGATAGTTCACTGTTTGAAGGCTGATGATGAGATCTCACTTATTTGCTTGGCTATATCCTCATGCTTCTGGCCATAGCTTGGATCAGTCAAAAACCGTTTCTTGTTTACATCTGAGCAAATCTCCAACTAGTGTAGTCAATGTAACAAATGTCCATAGTCATCAGAGTACAGAAGGACCCCAATGATTAGAATCTAGGGAGTTATAAAAGCTTTCAAATTTAGGCCAAAAAAACCCCGTGAAGTGCTGACAAGAGAAAAATTCTGAGATGTCCTAAATTAAATTACAGCAGGCCTCAGGGTGGGAGGAAGAGACATGGGAAATTAATCAGTTAACAGCAGAAGGCCAAAACCCACAAAAGACTGCTCACATTCATGAATGTACGTTGAAACTTGGAAGGGACTTCCAGTTAGCATCCTGCTTACTCATAAACTTTCTGGAGGGTTGCCCACAACTAACAAATATTTCTTCCTATGGACTAGTCACCTATCCCAGAACTTTCTCCGCTTCACCTTTTCCTACCAGCCCTCTCATCTATAGCCAGTGTAAATTCTTTCAAAACAACTTATTTGTGTCTGCTCCAAACTCATTGTATAAAAGAGCCCTTGTCAACCTCACGATGGTGGGAACATATTTGTCTTCTCCATAAAGCACTGCTGCTGATGGCTCAGGCTGCATGTCCCAGGACCTCATCCTTTTTCTGGTTTAACAAACCCTTTCTTTCAGTACAAATTTCAGCCTCGAAGGTTTTGTTTAAGTGCTTACACAGTCATCTCTTTTGGTGTTTTTATAGCAAAGCAAATCTCACAAAAGCCAATTACTATTTCGTGTTATTTTACTAGGGTAGATTGCGTAATTAAAATTGCGTGAGAAATACAAATATTTAGTTGAAAACAGACGTTAAATACTTAGCTCTTATAATCTAACTTTTACCATTTGCCACAAGTATGGATGCACTTGTGAATGTTTCTGTGCGACTGGGCATCAGATGGCGCTCACGCTTACTAAAAGCCCGAGCAGTGACAAAACATTCACAGGCATTTTGAAATCAAGACCTGACACCAAGCAATCACTGTGTTTTGGTCAAGTCACTTTTCTGAATCTGTTTCCTCACCTGAAAAGTGGGAAGTGGGAACAGAACAGATATATTTCCAACGTCTTTGATTCTCTGACTATAGTGGTGGCATAGGACTGGCTGCTGCTACCGCTGGCTGAAGTAGCACGAAATTTGGAAAAGTAAGGTTGGGAAAGTGTGACAGAGGCAGACGGTGTGCGGCTCCGGCTGGAAGGCAGCAGACCGATTTCGGTGTTTCAGCAACGCGGGCAGAAGCCCCTTAACTACGTGGTGTCTCCATTTCACGGGGTTACATCCAGCAAAATCGATTTTCAAGGTAAAAATCGCGGGTCCCATTAAGGATATATGCAAGACCTTGGGAATGCGGAAGCACAGCACAAGTTTAACTCCTGCTCAGGTTCTAAGTGCACCGCATGGAAACAACTTCCGCTCGGGGTACTCAGGACCCGGGAGGCGCGGCCCGGCCCTGCGGTCACGTGGGGCAGCGGAATTACAGCCTCGCGGGTCGCTTGGAGTACGCCGTGCGCCACGTCATGTAGGTTGTTCCATCCAAGCCAGGGTAGGAGCATTCCCTATCGCAGGAACGAGAAAAAGCCCAGTTGCGTCCTGTGTGGTAATCTGAGGGCAAATAAAACAGTTTTCTGTATTTTGCAAGCTTCACTCTAGAACAGTCGCTTTGAGGGACAGCCTCCCTCGCCTTCTATTCGACACCCTTGTTTCCCCTCCTTTAGGATTCCAGTTGGTATCTCCCGCGCCCCGCCTTCGCTCCGCGGCGTCCACGCAAGCCGGGGCCTGGGGTCCCTCACGTGACCCTAGCGCGCTCCCGCGGGGGGAGCACAGTCTCGGAGGCGGCGCCGCAGGGGACGGAAGGGACGGGCTGAGAGTTGTACGCTGCAGCTTTCGCCGGAACACCAGCGCGGAGGTCGCGATGTCTGGGCTCTCCCGCCAGCTGCTTTGGGCCGCCGCCTGCCTGGCCGCGCTCTGTGTGCTGACCGCAGCTCAGAACGCCTCCGTGGTCCCGAACGTGACTTCAGCGGCCCCCAATACGACAGTCCCGACGCCGTTGACGACTCTCGGGCCGGTCACCACTCCACCACCAGGTGGGCGCCAGCCCAATTGGCTTCCTGTGCTTTCTCGCCCGCCTGCCTAGCCGAGCTGCCCTCCCTCCCCTCGGTGCGCGGGGGGCCAGGGCGGGCCGCGCTCCGGAAACATGGCTGCCGGTCCGAGTCCAGCCGGGCCCGGCACGGGGTGGCCGGAGTGGGGGAGCGCCCGGGTGGGAAGGGGCGGCAGAGCCCCGGTGGCCGTTAGGCTGTCTCTGACCCCAAAGTGCCCCAGTCCGAGATGCTTTATAAAAGAGGTTCGTAATCCCCAGCCTCACCGTAGGCACGGAAGAGGGGACGTGGCTTCCTTCTGCGGTGGCGGCAGTGGGGTTGATTAGGAGGCGAGGTGATCGCCTCCAAAGTTGGCGATGAGACCGAACTCCCTCTCCCTGGGGTTAGTCGTTCGTCCACCCAGGTCCTCCGAAGAGAGGCTTCTCCTGAAGTTGGAGAAAGAGGGAAAGGAAAACTGGAGACATTAATATTCGCTGGCGTCTCAGACTTGCGTTTGACAAAATAAGTCGCTTGAGATTTAATTACGTTAATTTTGCGGATAGGTATGGGGTATATCTGAAATTTGAGCATTTAATTAAACCTTTACACCCCATGTTACGTGCAAAGAACGGAAACTACCCATTCCTGTACCCAGTGCTTCGTATATGTTTGTTTTAGTATTTTTAGGCTAAACTAGAAGATAGGTGGTGAAACGTAGAAAGTGGATGGAGATAAAGTAATTGCTGGAAACCTATGGTTAGTAGATTGTGAAACGGATTGGAACCTAGGTCTGTCGATTTTCTAGAACCCGATCAGGAACACACCTTTTGTTAAGCTCTTCAGTCAACTGGTTGAGGCATACACTGAATTTTAAAGAATAAATTGGCAATGTCGTGACAGTACAAAAAAGAGTAGGGAAGTTAAATTTGAGATAATAAGGTGGAACCCTAGATATATAAAACCTGAAATCTAGTGTGATTGGTTATTTCAATTAGTATTGGGTAAGGAGTAACTGGCATCTTGACGGGAGAATTGCTGTTTTTTACGTTGGTATTTTTTTCAGGATGATCATATTGTTTTACAATGTCTTCCCCTAGTTTTTGTATTTTACAAAGGTTTGTTTAAAAAAATATATAGTAAATTTAATGTTATTTGTTAGATTCAAAAAGATGTAATGGCAAAATTCAGAAAATTTTAAATGAAGGCAAATTGCAGTACAATACTTGAAATTCTAACAACTATGTTTTTAAGATAATAGAGCAGAATATGTTCTGCCTCCTGGTTTATTTGGCAGTTTACTCTCAGAATTGTAGTTTTGTGGGGGTTTTTTGTTTCTTTGTTTTGTTTTTTTTTCCTTCCCCAAAGAGGAGCTTGGAAATACCAATTAATTGCCTTTCTGTAATTTAAATGTGTGAAAGGAGATGATTTGTTTTTTCTGTAAGTAGTAGTTGGATAAGCTGCAGTTTGAAAGGTAGCAAGTTTAGTTCATTGTAAATAGCATACACTAAGCTACCCAAATGTTCATCATCAAACACAAAAGATTTTAAACAACTAGCATTTTTAAGTGTATACAAACCTCTGAAGAACTTATTTCTGCTTTGTGACCCATTACCCCTCCCCTCAGAGTACCATATAATAAATACTAATGATAAAGTATTGAAATGCAATGTCTCTGTGCAGAACTTTTTTTTTTTTTTTTTTGGAGGTATGGAGAAAGCGAGCAAGAATGATTTTGGAGGCATGTAGCTTCTAGGAAAATGGATAGAGCCCAATTCTATAGTCCATTTGTTTGTCCAGACATTGAATTGTAATTGGCCTTCTTTGAAGTCTTGTTTCTGGGCCATTTGGCTTAAATCATTGAAAAAGACTTTGTTAACTTGTTACATTACATGTAAATAAATGTAGCCCACTTCAGATGTGTTGTCTGTTTACCGCCCCAGTCAGGGAGGACCCTGAAAAGAGTAGATCAGTTATGAATTATGAATCTCTGGCGTTTTTTCAGAATGGGCATCAGAGCTTGGGTTTAACCTGTAATATATCTTTATTACTATTAAAAATTTTAGTGTCTCATCTGATGTTTTAGGGCAGTGATTTTCCTATGTGTATTGTTGGCCTTACAGCCTTTTTTTCCAATACTTTTTTTTTTTTAAGGATGGTTTAAAATGCCTCAAGAAATCCTGAGTGTCTTTGAAATAGTTGTCCTGTAATAAAAGGGTTGTTTAGATAGGTACCATGAAGTACTGAGCATCCCCACTAGTTTTTTTTTCCCCCTTTTGAGTTGACTTTTGGTTTCATATGTCATTTAAAATGATTGGAATTTCTTAGCCAGTTTATGAAGTTTTCGTGTGTGTGTTGTTAAAAAAAATCACGAGATCTACCTTCTTAACAAATTTTTAAGTGTACGGTATTAACTATAAGCAGAATGATGTACAGAAGATCTCTAGAACTTTTCATCTTGCATGAAACTTGATACTCATTGAACAGCAAGTCTCCCATTTCCCCTCCCCCCACCCACCTTTCTACTTTCTGCTTCTGAGTTTGACTATTTTAGATACTTTATATACGTGGAGTCATGCAGTATTTGTCCTTCTGTGACTGGCTAATTTCACTTAGAATAATTTCTTCAAGGACCATCCATGTTGTAGTGTATGACAGGATTCCTTCTTTTTAGTGAACGAATAATATTCCATTACATATGTATAACACATGTTCTTTACTCATTCATCTGTCGATAGGCTATAAACTTTTACCATTTCTCTGAATTAGTAAGTCTGATACTGTATGTAATACTTACTGTTGTTTTAAAAAGATAAGTAATACAAATTGAAAATCAGATGCCAAATAATTGATTGCATACATCTTCCTCACCCCAGAAACTTGTGAAAACCGCAACAGCTGTGTTTCCTGTGTTAATGCTAGCATTGGTACTGCTAATACTACCTGCTTTTGGATGGAATGTAAAGAAGGTAAGAAGATTGGGATTATTTTAATTTTGAGAATGCAAAACTGTTTGTTATAACATTTAAAAATACAGAGTATTCTTGAACATTTGAAAATCATGTAGGACATTTAGGATAGTGTGCACTATTTATTTTGCAAATCAAATACTTTTTCTTTAAAGTTTCAATTGCTTAACACTTCCCCCTAAAATGATCTCTTCTGTCTCCTATTTCCTCCTACCTTTAATTCCTAAGACTTGACAATTAAGGTTCAGTAGTTTTAAAGGAAGAGAGATTTTAGACTTTTGCAGGATACACTGAAATTAGCTGAAAGAAAGTTGTGAAAATTTCCGCTGAAAACTTCCCCAGAAGACTGTGTGAGGTATTTATCCTCAGTATATCCTGCTAGATGAACTTTAAAGAGACCTTGTGAAACTTTGTTGGATACTTAGATATGGGAAAAGAATGAGGTAAAAAGAGAATTGATTCTTATGCTTTTGTTCAGTTTTAAAATTACCTTTAATTGAAGAGTGAAGAGTTAGATGGAGATACTTTGAAATACCAATAAGGTTTTTGCAAGAACCAAAAGATTACAATATATTCTGTTTTCTTAAAGTAAGGTGATTGTATTTTTTTCTTAAAACAATCAGTTTTTTAATATATATAAAGAAGTAGCCAAAGCAACATGTTAAGCTTCTTGATTCTTCCTTGAAAAATTTAAGAGCTCTGTAAGTTATATCAGTACATAACAAAATTTAACAACCTCTTTTAAAATTAAGGTATTAGTTTAATTTGAGGTTAAGTTTACTTTTTGTTGTATAAAAGTCACTTTTTTTTTTGAAGATTTTTATTGGGGAATTGGGGGATGGTAACAGCGCTGGGGAATTGGGAGAAGGGGAACAGACAAGTTGCTGTCGTTTTGTTCTTCAGTGTAGTTGTGGAGGATGTTGCTTCACTGGCCCAAGTTGGCACCATTATTGCGCCGGCTTCTGGACTGCCGCTCACTGCAGATGCTGGCCGCTCACGCTGGCTGCTGGCTACACACAGTAGCCCATGGCAACCCACTGCCACAAGGGCTGCAGCCTACGCTGTCGCCGGCGACTCACGGCAGCCCAGCTCCAGGTTGAGCTGTTGTTCAGCATCTTAGTTGTGGAGGGCAGTGTCACTGTCCCTCATATGTGGGATCCGAACCGGGGCCCTCTGGCGTCCCAAGCCAGTTCTTAATCATCGCGCCACTCGGCCAGCCCTAATGGCCCCATTTTAAAAGGATGTAAGAGGCCACTATTACCCTGATTCCAAAATCAGACAAAGACAGTACAAAAAGGAAAACTACAGGCTGATATCCCTGACGAACATAGATGCAAAAATCCTCAACAAAATATTAGCAAACAGAAATCAGTAATATATTAAGAAGATCATACACCATGATCAAGTGGGTTTCATCCCTAGTATGCAAGATTGATTCAACATCCGCAAATCAATTAATGTGATACACCACATCAACAAAATGAAAAATAAAAATCATACAGTCAAATCAATAGATGCAGAAAAAGCATTTGACAAAATACAGCAGCCATTTGTGATAAAAACTCTTAGCAAAGTGGGAATATAGGCATCATATCTCAACATAATTAAGGCCATATATGATAAACCCACAGCTAACATCATACTCAATGGGGAAAAGCTAAAACCATTCCCCTTAACATCAGGAACAAGACAAGGCTGTCCACTTTCTCCACTTTTATTCAACATAGTTCTGGAAGTTCTAGCCATAATCAGACAAGAAAAAGAAAAGGCATCCAAAGGAAGAAGTAAAATTGTCATTATATGCAGATGATACTATACTATATAGAGAGGACCCCAAAGACTCCATCAAAAAACTATTGGAACTGATAGATGAATTCAGTAAGGTAGCAGGATACAAAAATCAATACTCAGAAATAAGTTGCATTTGTATATACCAATAATAAACTATAAAAAGTCCCATTTACAATTGCTTCAAGAACTACAAAGTACTTAGGAATAAATTTAACCAAAGAAGTAAAAGACCTGTACTCTGAAAATTATAAGGCACTGAAGAAAGAAATAAAAGAAGACACAAATAAATGGAAACACCCACCATGTTCATGGATAGAAAGAATATAGTTAAAATGTCTATACTGCCTAAAGCAATATATAGATTCAATGCAATTCCTATCAAACTACCAAGGGCATTTTTCACAGAAATAGAAAACATAATCCTAAAATCTATATAGAACCATAAAAGACCCCGAATAGCAACAGCAATCCTGAGAAATAAGAACAAAGAAATAAGAACATGCTACCAGACATCAAAACATACTACAAGGCTACAGTAATCAAAACTGTATGGTACTGGCATAAAAACAGGCACATAGATCAATGAAACAGAATAGAGAGCCCAGAATTAAATCCAGGCGTATATGGACAGTTAGTCTATGACAATGGAAGCAAGAATTTCAATTGGGGTAAAGATGGTCTATTTAATAAATGGTGCTGGGAAAATTGGACTGCCACATGCAAAAAAAATGAAACTGGACCACCTCCTTACGCCATATACAAGAACAATTTTAAAATAGATTAAAGATTTAAATGTAAGACCTGAAACCATAAAACTCCTACAAGAAAATATAGGGTCTAAATTTGCAGACATTACCTTGAGCAATATTTTTACTGATACATCCCTGTGGGCAAGGGAAGTAAAAGAAAAAATGAACATATGGGATTACATCAAACTTAAAAGTTTTTTCACAACAAAGGAAACCATCAATAAAACAAAAAGGAAGCCTACTGAATGGGAGAAGATATTTGTCAATGAGATATCTGTTAAGGGGTTAATATCCAAAATTTATAAAACACTCATGCAACTCAACACCAATAAAGCAACCCAATTAAAAAATGGGCAGAGGATATGAAGAGACATTTCTCTAAAGAGGACGTATAGATGGCCAACAGGCATATGAAAAAATGTTCAACCTCACTTAGCATTAGGGAAATGCAAATAAAAACCACAATGAGATACCCCGGTCAGAATGGCTAACATCAATAAATCAACAAACAACAAATGCTGGCGAGGTTGTGGGGAAAAGNTCGTTCGACCCCCAAAGGGGTCGCAACCCACAGGTTGAGAACCGCTGCAATGTAAAGGAAGCCTGGGCTCAAGTGCAGCTAGAGAGCTACAGCAGCAGCTCAACAACCATTAGGGACCAAGGTGCCTTCTAGGTTTTTACTGTCGTTCCTCAAAAATGGCTTTGACCTTATTCTTCAAGGTTGAGTTCTCATGTTTCAGCCATCTAATTGGTTTTCCCTCCAGCAGGAAGACCAAGGGTAAGAGAGAGGCCCATAGATACCTTACACGTTTCCTAGAAGTTAGACACATGGTAGAAGTTACCTAGCTGTAGGAGAGGCTAAGAAAAAGCTCTGCTGGGGAGAGGGAAATGTCACTAAAAATGGCTGCTTCTATTTCTAAAGAAGGGGAGACCAATATTGGGTGAGAGCAATTGTCAGTCTCCTTGACAGGTGGTACTAAAATATAAAAATTGTAAAGTGACACTCAAATGACTGTAGGTTAGTAAATGGTGTTATAGATAATGATATTTTAGACATCTTTGACTTACAAGTTTGTTTGTTTTTTAAATAGCACCCACTGCTGCTCCTTTGCCAACCAATTCTACAGGTAATACAAGATAACTGTTTTCCTCCTCTTCCTCCTCTCAAGATTTTTAAGCATTCTTGATGGATAACATTTTAGTAATTAAATACCTAAACGTGATAGTACAATTTTAAAAATTAGTAGACATATTTAGTCTTGGACCACGTAATTACATTAATGTGTCCTGTTTGTGACCATGACAAACAGCTTCAGTATTTCATATCATTGAATCTGGGTGGATTTGCCATAGCTTTGTACATTGAGTCTACAAAATTGATTTTGTGGAAATTTGGGAAATACAAAAACCTAAAAGAAATTAAAATTCCCTTTAATTCTCATCATCCAGAGGTAGACCAAAACGTTTTAAGTGGTTAAGTTTTCTAGTCTTTCCTATGTGTATATCTAAATAAATAAACTTAATATGAAATTGGATAATGTGTGCCTGCACATTTGAATTGTTTTCCCTTTTACTTCAAGCATTGTTGTACATACTTTACCCATCCTGCTCTTGACTGAATAGTAAGGTTGGAACATCTTATAGAGAAATATTTGCTGTCATCTCTAATAGGATTGATTCGAACAGCATTCGTAAGTCAGGATATGATTATTTTAAGAGTCTCAATACCGATTGCTTTCCAGAAAGATACGCTTTTCATTCCATCAACAACTTGAAAGTTTCTCACCACATCTTCAATAACATTAGATAATATCTCCTTTTAAAAATCTTCACCAATTTGATAGGAAGAGTAAATAAAAAACATCTACTCCAGTACAAGTACTAGGCTAGATGATAGGGATATAGAGACAGAGTAAGACAACATTTTGTGTGTTGTAGGAACTGTGAAAGAGGTAAGAAAGCACAGTGTGTTACCGGATTTGCAGGAAGGTGTATTGAGTAGCGTGGCATATGTGGTGACAGCTTCCTGAAAATGCTGACTGACCAAGTCTGAAATTACCCTGGTAAAAGAATGAGTTTCCCAAGCGGAGCAGGGTGGTCACCACATGTGAAGAAGATGTAAAACAGTATAATGAGGTCAGGGAATTGCTTTTGGAGCGTCCAGTACGAGGGGAGGAACAGTGAAGCTGAGCAATCTACAAATCAAGAGCCAGATTTGAAGCATGTAGGTCATATGATGAGACTTGCATTTTAATAAAATGACTTACTCTGACAATGTGGAGAGGAGATTGGAAGGAGATGAGTGAACACAGGGAGATTAGATAACTTGTTTCAGTAATTCTAGGGAACTGATGGGAAGAGTTGCAGAAGTATGCAAATAGGCCTAGGAAATAGAACGCATAGGACTTGGTGATTGAGGTGATGGGAGAGTTCTTAGCGAAAAGTACAGATAAGTTATCAGTGTAGGCAGTAGTACAGTCCCCTGGAGCAGTTGTTAGAGAAGTGAATAGGGCTTGAGGGCCAAATTCTAAGGGGTGGGAAGAGGATTGGAGAGGAACTGAGTAGAGATGGGCAGAAAAGTAAGAAAGCCCAGAGAAGAATGTCCCAGAAACTGCATGTATGTTTTAGGTGTAGCTTTTCAGAGAAGGGAGTGATCAAATGCTGCAACAAGGACAAGAACTCATTTTGAAAGACTTAGGCAGTGGTGAACTAGCTTGTACCAGCTTTTGCTAGCCAGCTGTGCATAGCTCTTCAACTGCATGTTCAGTGATACCATATTGGTAGCTTGAATTAATGGCTACAGTGGAAATATTCACGCCATGGAAATCTGCAAATGCTACGAAACTTATTTTGGAGAGCACACAGTGGTATGCTCATAAACCTTTAGCACCCATTAGAAGTCATTGATTAGGAGGGTATTAAAAGTTGATTAAAGCAGAGATGTTGAGGAAACTAATTTCCAGAAGGTGGGGTATGAACAGAGAGGCACAGAGGAGGAAATGATTTCCCCAAAACCATTGTGGGTCCACTTTTAATTTCTTCCCCATGAGTCTTGATGTATTTCTCCTGCTTGCTTCACACTGTATTCTACCTGTGTGAACTACCATGAGTCTCTTTTTTGTTTTCTGTCTCTGTTTCTGTAAAGTACAAGAAAGCCAGGGCTTGCTTGCAGAAAATGCTTCAGTTGAGTGGCAGTTAATGGTTAAAAATCAAACCCTTATACAATCTTTCCATGGTTACTGCTGAAGAGAGCAAGTGAGAAATTAAGAGACTGTTAAGGAAACAATGCAAAGAAAATCTAATCTATGTAGAAAGGTGTTCAGTGGGGTTAATTATAATAGTCTTCTACCAGTACAAATGTAAATATTATAAGCATAAATATAAATAATACCTTACAATATAATGAATAAGTTATGTCAGAAATGTAGTGGAAAACATTCATAATATATTAAGTGGAAAATAAACTATTAAGATTTTTATTTTTTTGATTTTATTTATTTATTTATTTATTATTATTATTTTTTTTTATTGTTAGTTTCAGGTGTACAAAACAATGCAATAGTTACCCTTTTCACCCTCACAAAGTAACAACCCCCCTCCCCCCATCCACTGCCCTCCCACCCCCGATATCATGCTTATCTATTACANGGGTCCTCTGGCGTCCCAAGCCAGCTCTTAACCAACACGCCACTTGGCCGGCCCAAAAGTCACTTTTTTTATGGTCATAAAATGGAATTTAAAAGTGTACCCCTCCGTGTGTGGTAGAGTTAGCAAGTTTTAGCGATTAAATGTCCTACTGTAGGATATGTTGGGGAAAACTTTCCCATACTACTCTTGCCATAAGTCTGTCCATCCAGGCAGTCAGTTTTAGAAAGTGTAGAAGACTAATGCAGAGATCTGGAACAGCAGACTTATTGCTGCCAGCGGGGCACCTCCTCTGTTTGCTAAGCCTTTATTAGATCCTGACCACTTGTCCATACTGACTCAGCCCTCTTGTGGATTAGCAGCCTTCCTTGTACGGTAGTCCTACCACAATTCTGAGATCTAAGTGTTTCTGATTTATCTGTTCAATATGTTCATGTGGATTTTAAAAGGATAATATTTGGAGATATCCTGTCTCATATTTCTAAAATAATGGGAAAAATAATTACAGAATTTTGTTGGATGGACCTCCACAGTGTTTATGCTTCAGTTTGATTTTTGGAAGCAATTATGGAGCTTAATAACAAAGTCAAAGATAATATAAGTGAGTGACTGGTGCTGTTTATCTTTTTCTTTTTCTTTCATAACAGGTAAAAGCTACTGTTCACATAATTCAACAGCAGCTAGTTGCCAGTTGGTGAACAGCACAGATTCCTGTTCTGGTAAGTATTCACATTGGCTGCTGGGGAAAGTGGCCACAGCCCCATGAGGAAGATCAGTGCTTCAGGAAGTCCTATTTCAATATTTGGTTTGAAACATTTCCAGAATTCTAATCTTGTTAGAAATTTGAACATGGAGAGTATATTTATATTGATTGCTAAAAGGACAATGTTTTGAAGCTTGGTTTAGTGATTTGGCTATATTGTGGAATACTATAAGTGCAGATACTGTTTTTCCTTTACTTTTTTTTTTCCCCCACTCTTGTAGAAACTCATTGTAGTTTAGCCCTTTTCTTTATTTGCATTTCATAGTCCGGGAGAACCTTGTCCTGGCACTTTCTTGGTTATGGTACTGGTGATTGTCATAGTCTCCCAGCATAGTTTGTGCTATGGTTAAATGAATCTTCTTATTCATCTATTTTCTGTACTTCAGTTTGAGGAACTTCATTACATTTTAACCTTTATTCTTTGCCCAGGAAATAGTTAAAATTCTTTGATGAAACAGCTGATTTCTCTAAGACTCTAAATTAATAAGAAAGTCAAACTCCTAATTTGGTCCATAGATAATAAATAGAGCAAAAGGTTTTTCTGGAGAGTGTCAGTAACCTTGAAAGACTACCTATAGCTATTTAATTTTGGTTAAAGTTTCCCCACCCCAACTTGAACTTTGTAACTGAGAATTTCATTAGTATGAGATCATTAGTTACAACCCATGTAGAGTGCATAGCATGGTTTAGGTGGTAAATGAACAAACACGTTAGTAGTTATTTTAATGTGTGTTAGAAAAAGCTAGTAACTATACCAGACGTATGATTTCATGATAACTGCTTAGAAACAAGAGTAAAACATTTTAAGAAACTTTAAAGAAAAACTGAACAAGTAATTCTGCTTACTTGATGATGCATCAGTTAGAATTAGTTTTGGCTATGAAGGGACATAAAACCATGAATTAACAATGGTTTAAGAAATAGACAAGATTTACTTTGCTATCATGTAAAGCAGCGGTTCTCAACCTTCCTAATGCCATGACCCCTTAATACAGTTCC